AGTCATGTTTTTTCTATTGTTGAATCAAACTATTTATTGAGTTTCAATTTCAATTACTTATTATTGAGATTTGTTTAACTTTTATTAAATTAATCATAGATTCAGTCATACTTTTTCTATCCACGAATTGAATTAATTGTTGAATTTAAATCTTGATTTCACTTTATTGGTGGATTGATTACTGTTTTATGCTTTAATATATGATTGATCTTTAATCTTCTTCTAATAAAATTGTGTAAACATGTTATAAATCTAGATTCTAGCATTATATTTNATGAATCTAGATTCTAGGATTACATTTGTAAAATAATTTGGTTTTCACGATAAATCTTCCGATTAGAGTGTCGGGATGAAAGCCTCAAATTGAATTAGAAAACTGAATAATTGATGTGAACGATCCAATCCAACCGAGGGAATTTCGAAACTTCACTATTTTAAATTATTGATTTTTAACTTCATTTTTTTCACAATTGAATTCAACTACACTTTTGAGAGAACAAACCAACCATTTTTTATCCCTTAAACATTTTTCCATCTCCCTGTGGATACGACACCCCAAAACTACATTACAACTACCGAATTATACTTTGGACGTAATCAGTCACAAACAATCAAATCACTTACCAAACCACCAACACTTGTGACCACCACTTCACCACTGCCACCAGCTGCATCGCTGTCGAAACCATCTCCGCTGAACAACCACAAGTCCACAACCATCTCTTGACAACAAAATCATCGTCTCAAACACCACCACCACTAGCCTACCATTTCACAATCACAAGCTCCATAAAAAAAATCCCCAATCCTGCCACATAGCACTACCACCACCGCATGTATCAACAATAACCACTACCACCACCATCATCGGCGCATCAACCACAACACAACCACACACAACACCACTACATCACCACCACGCCGCCGCCGCCACCGCCACCACTTTACAATTTGAAACAGAGACAAAAACAAAACAACCTCAAAACCATCACCAACCCAACACAACACCAAAACTACCACCAGATTTCTCCACTCCAGCGGAAAAGACGCCTCTACACAGCGGCTCCGACTAAGCGGATCAAATCGGAGGAGAGCGAAATCACCCAAAAAAACTCCAAACTCCATTCCCAAATTCTCTTCTACCTACGACCAAATTACAGCAAACCCTCCCCAAATTGTTTTGCTGCAGCGACGAATGCACCGCCAGACAACGCTATTATGAGTTCGTAGCAGTTTCGACACTATTGTTCAACGCTGTTGCGAACGACAATGCTCACAGCATATCTACTGTAGGATGTCAATGACATGCGCAACAACATCGTCGTGCCGCTTCGTGATGTCTTCCGGTGGCACCTCCTGGTCTTCTGGTGGGATTGTTAAATGAGGGAGAAAATAAATAGAGAGAGAGAGAGAGAGAGAGAGAGAGAGAGAGAGAGAGAGAGAAGCAAGAGGGTTGAGAGAGAAAAAAAATAAGGAAAAATGATTAGGGTTTGAAAATGAAGGGGTATATTTCAAATTGGCCGGGTATATTGAATACTTTTGAGTTTTTATGGATAAGTCTATTTTACTCTTAATGAAATGAATTTCTTTTTTAC